TGGAGAGTTCTGGGGGTACATCTGCACCAGGTGACTGTCATTTCCTGCACCCTCACAGTGTGGATGCACAGAGATACCTGCTTCTGCAGGGTGGACAGGAGATCTCTCGCCTGCTCGGAGCAGCAGGAAGGGCAACACAGCCCATCATAGGAGCTGTGCTCCCACAGCAAGGCTTTTCCTGACGTGGAAGCAAATTACCTTCAGCTCCACATGGGGACTTTCCCAAAAGAAGGGAATGGCAAAGAGAAAAAATTAAAATGACAATCTTCCCCTTCCAAGGAAAACAGGCTTTCTCCCAACCCCCTAATTAAAATGTGCAGGTTTAATAGGCAAACCAGCAGAAGGCTTAGTCACTGTGACCCAGGTTGTGGGAAAGGAGTCCAGCCTTTCAGCTGAGCACAGCATTGGCTTCCTGCAAGGCGAAGCTACTTTTCATCATTCCCTGGAAAACATCAGATGTTTGGATTGTAGAAAATGTAAGCAGTGGCCTACCACCTCTCATGTGGAGTGCTCCTTATAAAGGAGGCAAGCTGTGGTAAAACAGCTAAGGATATGCAGGAGAGCAAGGCTGGGCTCTCAGAGTGGAGATGGGTCTTAGGTGCCACCCAGATGCTCCCCCTCGTCCTGCAACATCAGCTACACCAAAACCTTTTCCAACCCACATTTCTCAGGTCTGGTCTTAGGCATTTCCATCCTCCTCAGGCTGTTTTTAGCTACCTACCTTATGATGGCATTTTTGCCCATATCTAACTTATGCACCCCTAGGTACAGGTCCGTCCCTTTTATAAGATGCCGCATGGACACCAAGAGACTCCATTCTCTTTGCAGCCTTGCACATATCCTCACTGATCCATGCCCTCTGCTCCTGAAAACCAAATTTCCATTCAGTCAAGCAAATGTTAACCATACGTTATATTTTCAAGTAAACTGTTTTTGTTGGACACTTAATAGCGCATATATATATATAAACTAATAGCATATATATTTGTATATATAAAAACATGCACACACGTGTACATATACACATGTGTATGTTTACATGAAGCTAGTAATAATCTTTTTATAACAGCTATATGCTATAGTATGAATTTAATGACATGTTTAAAAAAATGAAGCTTCAAGGTAAGTAAATTTACTTGTAAATTCATATAAAAATCAATGAACACTTCTGGCCAGGAAAAAAGAAAAAAGTAAGAAGAATGTGTATTTTAACATCTTCTATGCAAATTAGGAATAAAATACATTTTTTTTTAATAGCTTTTCACCTTGAAATTAGTTTGTTCTAAAAGTCTTGAACGACGCAGAATATTTTAGTCAACTTGAAGTACTGCTGAGAAGGGAAGTATTCTGCTGATGAAACAAGCAAATGCAATTTGAAATTGGGATCAGTCTGAAACCATTTCCCTTCCATCTCTCCCAGTTTGGCTGGTGAATTGAGGAGAACTAATTGGATGGCTTCTGTTGCCCTTCAGCCCAGGGATGCAGGAATCCTCCTACCCTGGGTTTTTGACCACAGGAGCCTGTGAATCTCAAAAGAACATTTAAGCACAGGAGTCCAACTCCTAACTACAAAAATAAAAACATACCTTTGTGGAGAGCTAATGAGAAGATAATTCACAGGCATATTTATTGGTAGGAAACCACTGCATAAAATGCATGGGTAAGGCAAAACATTGATTAAAATACCACCCAGGTAAATCAGCTTCCTAGGCAATATACGGAGAGCACTGCCATTGAACTGCTCTGAGGCAGCCAGCAAAAATGCTAATGCAGCCTGCCAAATAGCTGGATGTTGCTGATGGAAAAAATTAGCCTCAGTACATTGGCATCTGGAGTCTGTGACTGCCATCCAAAAAGAAAAGGGACTGGTGCTGTGGAATTGGGTAATTGCACTCCAGCCGCCTACCGCAAGTCTGCTGTGGCTTTGTCATTCAAAAAATATATATATAAATAAATTAAGTGTTTTTAATTAAAAAATGAGGCTTTGAAAGTACAGAAAGTAAGATGCAAGGGGAAGCCATACAATTAACTGGATAAAAGGAATCGCAATTTCTGTGTGTCTGAGTATAACAAACCCAGACACAGGCACATATGCGTATGTGTGCATGTGTCGTTTTGTGTTTCTGGGTATTTGTTTCTGTGTTAACTCTGTGTCCATTTCACAAAGAATTATACACTCCATTTACTTGAGATTCCAATGTATATTACTAGGGGAAAAAAAAAAAAAAAGCAATTTCTCAGTACAGCCCATGTTTTAGCAATTATATTCCTTTCTCTCTTTTTCTCCCCTTTCTGTATTTTGGGGAGGGGGGGGGGGGGGGGCAGATGACTGTCAGATGCGGTGATCACCCCCTGTTGTGATCCCCAGGGTATGGGTGTAGCTGGAACAGTGGGGCAGCCAGTAAAGATGCATTACCAGTCCTAATTCTGAAAACATGCTTGTCATAGGAGAAATTTGTAGGAGTAATGATACATTAATGCAAACATTTTGGTTATGTGAACGTTCACAATTTGCTTTGCTGCCGATGCCCAGTGAAATACCCTGAAAAACAATGTATATGCTTCTGCATGGCACTTCCTTTTCAGAGACTAGTTGCAGGTGTTTAGAAGTCCTTCCCTCCAAAGCAGCAATGACACATACTTCTCATCTCATACGCAAAATTTTCAGGAATGTCCACTTAAGTATTTTGGCATTAAAATAAAAATCACTGCATTTCTTGTACAAGACTGACTAAGGGAAGGTGTAGGTTTAAAACCTCCAGACTAGTGCTCAGAAAGGAATATGCTCATGGCTAAGTTAGCTGTTTCTAAGATCTGAAAAGGTTATCAATGGCAGAAAGCTGCATACCATGTGGACATAATATACTGTTTTACCTACTATTCCAAATATCCATGGATCTGATAAAATCTGACCTCTCCTCTCCTGGATCTACTACAGAGGCAGTGAGTAAGCACATTATTGGTCATAGACATCCATGGGACTAATCATATGCTTAAAGTTACAGGACTGCCTAAGTGCTTTGCTGGACGAAGGCCTAATGGACCATATGTGCTGCACCAACTCCTCATGAGAGGGATCAGCAAGGATGCAACTCAGACTCTTCTGGATTTCTTTTTGGCCCTCAGGGCTATTTGTGCCTGTGTGTGTGACTGTAAATAAACCTCACTTTTTATATACAGAGCACCAAACAGGAGGTGGTCCATACGCTGTGGTGGGATGTCCACAGGATGAGACAGGTACTTCTCTGCCTGCCACGGGGTCTTTCCACACCACAGACTGATGTGCAGGAAGAGGAGAAAAATTAACTAGAGGTAAGTATTGGCTGAAAATACCCATTGTCAAGAGAGGTGTTCTGAGGTGTTGTGTTGATGGACGTGTTCTTCATGGGGGATGATGCTGAAGTAAGTGTTAATTTTTAGAGAGCGTTCTTATATGCTTAGTAAGTGGCAGGAAAGAAAACATTAGTGATAACCCTTTGAAAAAGTTCTTAGCCATTTCTAGAAAACTATTTATCTTAAAAGAAATGAAGCAGAAATAGAATGCATTTGCAGAGAACAAGGTGAAACAAAGGTTATTTCAGACAACAAAACAAAAACCACATTGACTTAAGTGCAACCCTACATAGAAAAGCACTTATGCGGGTACTTCAGGTACAGCATCTACCTGATTGCTTTCCCAAGTCATAGCCGTGATTATAGAATATTTCATTTGCTCTTTGCAGTGTCCTCAGATCTGAAGATCTTTTTTTTCTTCAGAAAGAAATCGTTATAATCAATCAAAAGGCATTAACATTCCCACCGCTGGGATTATGAATTACATTTCTGTAATAAACATGAATGCCATTTCCCTCATCTCCTGTTCTTTCAAGAGCCCTAAAAGTTTTATTTCAACTTTCAAACTTGCATGAGGGCTTTGGCTAGGAGCGAATGCTTCTGGCTCACTTGAGCTAATTTGGCAAATAATTTTAAAACAATTTCTATTTTACGTAGAGTTTCAGAGTTTGACATATTGCTCAGTCAGCTCTTATTTCATGAAGAGTTTGTTTGATTAGGTGCCCAGGTGAAACACAATCGGGAAACCTGGTGAGCTGTAACGCCTCCAAGGGGAGGAGGAAATGAAGTGGCTTTGCTTGCTCCTTAGCAGAGTGTTACAACTCCTCAGCTCTGTCCAAAGGGATGTTTTAACAGCGCTGCCGCTGTATTTTGTAAAAAGCCCTTTTCTGACAACACATATTGGGCCTGCCATAGGGCATTGCCAGGAGTGTCTTTCTAAGGGGGTTTTATCAGTGGGCTTTGACTTGGTGTAAACACAATGGGCTGCCAGGCCTTGAGGCAGGTGTCTGCAGGTAGGAGGACCAGGCTCAGCCCTTACTGACAGGGCTTCTAGGTCCTGGTGCTCCAGAGTAGGTCAGAGCCACCCAAAAGCCACTTTGGTTGGGGTGGGCTTCATGGCATCCATATGATGATAAATCTGAGCTGGCAGGAGGGGCCCTGAAGGGGCTGGGCCTATCAGGGTCTCACCCAGGCCTTGCTGGCCAGAGTGGGCTTTCACTGTATCTCAGCTGAGGCCCAGGCTTGCACTCACAGCCAATTTTCCTCTTGTTCCCATGACAGAGACATGAGCCTGTAGGCTTCATGTAGGTTTTAGGGCATCCAGAAGCATGGAAACAAGTAGTGTCCCCATGCCCAGCTGCTATGGGCACCCTTGTACTGCTCCTGCAAGGATGGGGAGCCCCAACAGCAATGACAAATTCCGACAATAAAGAATTTACCTTCAGCAAGGAATTCACTGAAAGTATAAGTCATGAGCTGTATGGCAGGAGGAAAAGAAAAAAAAAAAAAGAAAAAGGACCAAAAACCAGAGCATTGTTTCCAAGCTCCTAGAGAAGCAAGACATGCTATATCCTGAGGACAGAACAAGAAACCAGACCGAGTTTATATAAAGCTACATGTGGAAACCTCCCCTGGTAACAAAATGAGCAATAAAAATCAAATATCAATGAGAGTCCAAACATTCATCTTTAAAATCACTGAGCAGTAAATTACACATCACAGACCTCTTCAGTCTTCTGGCAAAAGCTGCACAAATGGAAACTGCCGAACGCAAATAAAAAACAATGTATTTGTTTAAATCTGCAGCTAGAGAAAGGCTCTGTACCAGTCACATTTTCTAAACAAAGCACTTCTTTTGCCACCTGAATTTCAGAATGCCTTTGTCCAGCACTACCTATGAGGCATTTAATCAATCACAGTGGTAAAATGAAGATGGCAAATTCCTTCCTCTCTTGCCCCCAAGTGAAGAGACGGGCACATTTCCTAGGACAATTTGAAAGAATTTGTCAGACATTCTTTACTGAAACCCACAATCTTAAAATAAATCCAAAGGAACTGAGTGGGTTTGGTGTTCATTTTCCATCAGGAGCTTTTATTTTTCTTCACCCGGGGCTGGATTACATCACAGCCACACCAGCAGCAGCCTGCTCAGCAGTGTGGAAAGCAAGTTTGTCCTGTCGCCATCTTCTCCTCAAACCAGAGCAGGAGGAAGAGGTGGCTCTGTCTGCACCAGAGCCTTTTTGATTCAAATAAGCCAAAACTCAGCAGCTTTCCTCATTATTCTCACATCACAAGGCAGCAGCAAGCCCACATGAAGGCAGCTGTTGGAGTAGTTCCTGCTCAGTGTGAGAAGTGCAGAATCTGGCCCTTAAGAAACTGGACTTTTCTTGTGCAGAGGTTGATGGACTACAGGGCTTTGGTGCCATCTTTATCCCTGTCACCACGTGTCAGGCCTATGGACCTGCACTCCACAGGTGCTCTTGTTTTCTCATGTTTTATGTGTTGGTTGGTGGAAAGGTCTCCACCACCTGAACTAGGCACTGACAAAAGACCAATGCCCTTCTGAACAACTATTTATAAGACATCAGAAGGACCTTTGCATAACATATTGTTATTTTTATTGATTGGAAATAAGGCAGTATGTCATCTGATATTTTATGAAGTAATGCACAGATGCTCTTAATATGAGAAGCAGCAGTGGGGTTGCAAACCTTTACAGTTCTTTTAGCAGTTCTCTTCCCCAGGCTGTTAGAAGGTGACTAGCACAAAAAGCTATATTGATGATTATTTGGGTCTTTCCTCCCCTCCTCCTTTGGTGAGCTGCGGTGAAACCATGTGAAATGACCATTTTTGGTAGCATTTAATTGTGGATGTTTGCACAAGACATTTTAAAGCTTCAGTGATAGATTATGAACCCTTTCTTTTAAACATGCCATTACAATTTCCCATTATATTGTTGCAGTGGACTGAACATAGCAGCAAACCAAATCCTAAATCCATAAAAGCAGTAAATTAAATGTGGCTCCAGTGGTTTTGGAGCTTGACCAACAAGTTATCTTTATTAATGCATTCAGGGAAAAGGTCTCATTTTATTACATTATTTTCTTAATGATAAAGGCAGTAATGGAATCTCAGCAGAACACACCAAAGGAATCTTAGTTTGCTGGCAGTTGGGTCAAATTTTTGTGTGTGCTTGGTACAGGGTTCAGACTTGGCAGTGTCCAACTCACTGACTTCTGTCTTGAAAAGCACAGTCTTTTGCTGCTTCTCTGTACTTGCTAGTTGACATTTTCTTGGCTTTAAATGAAATTTTGACACATAAATCCCACATGTCAAATGATATTGTAAAACAAGCATCCAAGTGTCAGCACATAGCCCAATAGTCTAGGGAGTAGAGAATAGAATAAGGAACACCTTTATGCAGTCTTTCATCTACATCCAGCCATCTGCAAGTAATTTGAAACCAGTTTCAAATGAAGCTAGGTTGTTTGGCCTGTTAACACACACAAAGCCAAAGCAGAAGTTTGGAGTCCTCATGGCTTTTATTGACTTGCTAATAAGTAGATAAAGCTTTTATTTTCCAAAACTGTTCTTTTCTCAGATAGCCTATTCCAAAGAAAGCCTAATTGAAATTACAGAAGTCTCTTGCAGAGTGCCACAAATTCCATTTTTAAATAGCCTGCTGATATTGAAAGACTTCATGATGAGCCTTTCACTTGCAAAGCAGGACCGGTGGGTTCCCCACTGATGAGCTGTTTTGTTTGATTTGGGGAGACACTAATGGTACTAGGTTCCTACAAAACAAGAGCGACAAAGGAGTGCGGATTTATGTGATGATAGGCTGGCTCCGAGATTCATGTCTGAAATCCCATAGGAAGTCTCATGTGCCTGCCTGCTGGGGTGGGTACTTTGCCATACTTGGTTCTTTTCTTCATAGTACCACTGAAAAACCAGAACTGCAGGTGAGCCGTGATTTAACAGGAGATTCAAGGCCCCTCAGCTGCAGCAAACTCAGATTCAGCAGAAATAAACTGCACATTCAAAACGGTATTTTAAGTATGAAACCTCTTAGGAATTTCAGATGACACAGAAACATGGACCTTGAAAAAAAAAAACAACACTCACCTGTGTTCCCAAGAGGAAAAGTCCTGTGCACCTCAATGTGCAGCCACTGCCAGTGAGACCAGAGAGGTGTGAAAGCAAGCATCAGGACATGAAAAATCCCAACTGAGGTTTGTGGGTTTGTAAATTTACCTGAAACATAATAAGTGTAAAGCTTGTGAAGATGTGAAGATCCAGCAGATTAGAAGTAACACATGAAGTAAATGCAACTATATACAGCTGTCAATCTGGCAAATATGAAATATAGTTTTTATATATGTGGATATACATATATGTACATACATATCTAATTAAAAAAAAAAAAACAAAAACAAAAACAAAACAAACAAAAAACAAACAAACAAACAAACCAAAAAAAACACACAAAAAAAACCTACCTGATTTTAGGAAAGGTCTGACTGAGAAAAGGATTCTTAGTAAACTTAACTTTGAAATACTTTTGAAGGGTAATTAATAAAGGGCATTAAATTCCTGCAGGATTTTACTGCATATTATGTGCTGTGAGTGATTTTTCTTCACTTGCAGTCATGCTGGGGACAATGCAATGAGGTTTGGCAGAGGCTGAATGCACAGCTGTGATGTTCAGGCAGAGTATGCCCTGAGGATGGGTTCAGGTGTCTTCTGACTACCCCCACCCCAGGGCTTACCACAGGTGGTCTCCACCAAAGCTTGATGAGATCCAGCTACTCCCCTGGGACAACAAGGGTGCGAATGGGACTGCATGCAGCCAGGTAGGTCCAGACTGAGAACAATAGTTTGAGATTAAACACAAGAAGAAACCAGTGGAGGCTGGTGAGACAAATCTGCGTGGGTAGGAACTGGGGAGTGATTTTGTTGGTTTTAGCTCAGTAAGGCCTTTCAGCTGCGTTTGGTGTTTCCATGCTTAGGAAGGTGTCGGAACTGAACAGAACAACTCAACTTAGGACATGGAGGTAGCTATCCCTTCTTCCCATGTATTTTAAATGGTTATCTGGTCTTCATCAAGGGCCTGAGATTCCTCATGTTGTGCTGATCATTTTTAAAAGCAAAAATCCACTTATGGCAAACGTGTAAGTGAAAGCAAAACAAATGATGCTGAACGTGACAAGCAAACAATAATGATATGAGGTTGGAGCTGAGGGGAACTCTTGTGAACTACTCACATGGCTAAAGCTTTTAGAGATCTCACTTCTGTTTGGTCCAATTCTTGGCTCTGTTTATTGTGCTATCTTTTAACTTCTTGGAGTGACTTGTGACTTAGTGTATGTGAGAGCAAGAGGGGAATTAGATGTAGCAATCATATGCAGATGTGGTTTCATCCTAGTCCTGCAGTCCTAACTTAGTCTTGCACTGATGGCAGCCAAGCATTCATTTGTTGTCCTCCAGCACCCTAGCAAAGGGGTGAACCAACTCAACCTCCTGCCTGATTGATCTGAAGGCAATGCAATCCCTCTCCTTTAAAGAAATTTGCTTTTCCAAATGTAGGGCCAGTCCTACCACCATCCATGAGATGACAGTGTTGCTAACGTGGGATGAAACCCTAAGGAGATCCTCTTCTTCAGATCTCAAGTCCTTCATCAAGATATTTGCCACAATGACATAGACAGGCATTACAGGAGCAGTTAAAGCAAGAGGTACACACACTCTTTGAGAGATGCATACTGGTAAATATGGAGCTACAAATAGCAGCATGGATATATCAATAAATAAAACACACCCAATTGACATCATTTGGCAAAGACTGGCCTGTTCCCAAACTACTGAGTGCTCTTAGCTCCCAAAAGAGGGTGGTGATGTTTGGGCTGCCTGTTGGGATGGTCTCTCTGGCAAGCCTGGGAGAACAGGTAGGGACTGCTACAACAACACAGGCAGATAACTTCCAGAAACATGCCCCATCTTTGTTTATTTTTCTACTGTATATATAGCCTGTGAGAAAATTGTGTGTTACCCCTGTAGAAATTTGGCTGTTTTCATGTTGGGTTAGATACCAAGCATCATTTTTTATCAGGTGCCTGGCCTTCTTAGGATTTGCCCAGCTATTTTATTTCAGAAACATCTGTCTTATTTTCAGAAACAAGTATTTAGATAACACAAAGATCAGCTTTGCCTTCTGCATGCCCAGTACAGCCAGTATCTCTCCCTGCTACATGCCAAATCTCTTTGTTCAACTGTGTAGTATGGTGATACATCACAGAAGACTATGAGAACTTGTGTAAAAAGTATTGCATGAGTTGCTTTCCTTAGCATCTAGTGACTGTTAGTATCAAATAATTGGCCAGAAGCATTCTTAATGTCATTCCCCTAAAATCCACACAGTTACTGTTAGGGAATATTTTTATTCACAGATACTTATTTCATGTTTTTGCAATGTTATTTTTTTTCAATAATTATGAATTTAAGACTCTCACTTCTAGTATACTTGAGGCTGAGTTTGCTGAATGACAGTCCTGTTACATAATCATGTAGAAAGACCACAGAACCAGGGGTAAGATCTGGAATTTCGGACATGCAGAGTTCAACCCATTTTTGAGGATGACATAATCGCACCGAAAAAATGAATGTGATCCATTTTATAAGCTGATCTCATTCAACAGCTAGCAAATTTGTAAGCCTGCTTTCAGAGATCAATTCCCCTCTTTTCCAGTGAGCGGATATGGAGCTCTTCCAATGCACTTTGTTTCTCCAGTTCACAATGCTACAGCAGAAACTGGGTTTGTTTCATACCTACATGGAGCCAGCAAAGCATACCAACACACTTCAACAGTTTATTGACCTTGGCTGTTAACAACGGCATCACAAAACCAGTGATGCAAATTATATTTTGTGGAGTTTCAAAATTTTGTTCTTCCACTTTTTTTTTTTTTTTTTTTTTTTTTTTTATCTTAGCAATATTCCTAAGACAAAGGGGAAAGAGCTAGCAGAAAGGTATGTTTCTGCAACAACTGTAATTGTGTTAGGCCAAACAACTGACAGTTTTATGGAGTTTAACTAGCTTCACTCATTTTGCAATTAAGAGTTTCATCGATGCAACAGAGAGAATGTGGCATTTGTGGCCTCTTAAGACTTTGATTTGTTTTCATTGCAATGTTGATGTAGTCCAGACAAATAGGAGACTAACACTACTTCAAGGCATAAGCTTCTGTAAGAAATTTTACACTCTATCTGCTTTTCTCCACTCAGGGGTCAGCTGTGCATCGTATATATTGGTAAGATACATACGATGGTAAGATACAGAGTGATTTATTTACAAGACTTGGTATACTTCCATAGTAGTGAAGAATGTAATAAGCAGCCTGGTGTGCTTCCAAGAATTATTCATCATCAAAGACTTTTCTTATTCAGAAAAAAAATAAAATGTCCCTAAATTTTGTAGAGTAATAACAAAGAACTTTTCACATGCTGCCTTCTTGAAGATCACTGAGGTCATCTATATTTTGTTTGTATACATCTACACATAACAGATTTTGGAAAAAATTCCTACCACTTTCAGCTACCTCCTAGTAGCAGTGTGTAATGAACTACCAGTATGAGCAGATCAGCCACACGCAACATATTCGTTTACCTCACCAGTTAGGTTAATCTGCCTCTACTGCATTCTGGGCAGTTTTCAAAGTCACAACATTTAAAAAATCCTGTGGTTACAATGAGGTTTCCTTTCTTCCAGACTTGTTTCACTTACCATTAAATGTACTTTAAAATTCAGATCAAAATTTAACCCTTGGTCAAGACATGTTTGCAACTTTTGAGAAATACGTGAGGTTCTACGTGCACTGTGAAATACAGAAATGATGTAAATATTTTTCTTCCAGCTTTATACACAAACAGGTGGGAGTGTAAATTGACATGAATTACATTACATTTAAAAGAGGCTTGAGTATTTTGCTCTTTGTCTTGTTTGACAGTAGGACTTTTCCTAGTTTGCTGGCCCGTGTCGTTCATTTTTTTTTTCTGTTATCCCTTCACATGAGTGCAAAATGTAAAATGGTGGGTTTGTATGTCTTGTGAGGCAATGCACACCATGGGCTTTTACTGATCTGCTGCATCGATGCAAAACACATAGGCTATTCTCAGGAGCTGCATGAAATAATAAAGGAACTTTCTTTAATATCCCCGAAGGCACTGTGCTGAAGAGATATTTTTACTGTTAACACCATGACTAAATAAACCAATAAAATATGAAAAGATAATAGCTGAATTGGAAACATTTGCATATTAACATGATTTCTATTAAGTGCACTGATGCTAGTGACAGAGATTTGGAAACATTCAAAACTTAGTCTTGCATTCAGTCTGCTATCTTTCCTCAAAATTTTCCGTGCTTTCCACTTCCTCCCACATCTAGTCATTGACCATGGGAATTCTCAATTTTACACAGACAAAGACTCTTTATTGTCTACTCTAACATGGCAAATTTTCTGTCTGCCTGTTGGATTCTAAAATGACCCCTACATTTTTGTAACAAGATTTAGCTTATAAGTTTGAGAAGAATGTGTACAAGAAAAAAGCATAATAATATAGCTTGGCCAAAAAATGCTAGGAGATGCTGAACATACTCAGACATTGGCCTGATCTTCATTAACATTATTCATGAGACTGTGGTAGGGAGGACTACATTTTAGTTCTGAAGTAGGAGAAAAAACATTAAGAGGCTACAGTGGAATTTGGGCATAATTTCTGAATTTAAAGCTGTGACCTTGAACAGCCACTTTCACCCACTCCATACCTTCATCCATAATTTCTCTCCTATTCTTCAGGTATGCAAGCCATGTTTCTAAGAGGCCAGATGTTTTACCTCCAGGGAAGGTAGCACCAAGAATCCATAGGATTGCTCACAGGAGACCGAGACTTACACAGCTGGAAAAGGATTTCGAGATCTATTCCTGTAGAGTAGAACAAGATCCATTATACCCATGTCATTCTTGACAAAAGTCTTATTTGGTCCTGGCCAGAGGGACCCCACAGACTACTCAATGGGGTGCTGCACTCCCTGTCCTATTGGAAGGTTTCCAGAACATCTGTTTTGAACCTTCTTCATGGTAAGTCAAGCCCTCTATACCTTGTCCTATTCCCAGTGATGCACAGAACAACATATTACTTATCCTTGCATCATGAGGGCGCTTTACGTATTTTGGGATATTTACTTTGATGTTTACATCACAAGAGTATTCCTGGGCAGCCTCAGTTTGCTTTGCCTTTCCTCTGAGGTCATGTTTCTGAGATCATTCCTGCTGGCCTCTCCTCTGGACTCTCTCTAGTGTTTGTGTATTTTATCCGGTGACTATTAATACAAAATGTGGCGACGTAAAAAGTTGCTTTTGGCGCCTGTGGATGGTCCAAGCTGTGGGGAGATCCACATGAGCCAGGATTTCTCCACAGCTGTCTGGGCCCTTCTGTCCTCTGTGGAATGCGTGCGGTGAGAAATTGGTACACAAATTGTGCTTGCAGCAACGACGAATGCGGGGAAAGGGAACATATGTGAATGTCCTCTGACAGTTAAACAAGACAGACAGTGAAAGGATGCTTTACAGGGAGAATACTTATGGTAACGTGCTGAGAAAAAATAAACATATTTAATTCTCCTGGCAGCCAATCAACCTTACAAAAATCTGTTC